TCTGTATGTACCACTTCAGTGGTACATACAGAATACTACATACTTACTGGTAAAGTAGACATGTTCAGTGGTAGATACAGATACTACATACTTACTGGTAAAGTAGACATGTTCAGTGGTACATACAGAATACTACATACTTACTAGGTAAAGTAGACATGTTATACTTACTGGTAAAGTAGACATGTTCAGTGGTAGATACAGAATACTACATACTTACTGTTCAGTGGTACATACAGAATACTACTGTTCAGTGGTAGATACAGAATATACTACATACTTACTGGTAAAGTAGACATGTTCAGTGGTAGATACAGATACTACATACTTATTGATAAAATGGATACAAAATTTCAGCGGCACCCATTTACTTTCTTTAATCTTGTGATCTAACATGAGCTCCAGGTTTTGTGGCATCTTGAAACAGTATTGTGAAATGACTGTCTTTTTAAATATTTAGAATTTACTAGTTATAAAGTATATTGTGATTAAAGCAGTGTCTATATTTTTTTCAATTAGGCAAAAACATTAAAAAAATTTTTTTCACATTTCTTTCCTAGAAAGATTTGACTTCTATGTGTAAACAGTTTTCTTTAGTTTAATATTTTAAACATTTATTATGCATGACAGTACAGATAGGATTTTCAACAAGTTTTTAAATATATTTCCTAACTACTAGTTACCATACTTTACAGCACAGAACTCGTAGGATATACAACAAACCTCGGAACTTACGACTGTCTGTAACAGTTAGTATTACTTTCTTCACTGTTATGGTGAAAGAATGAGACAAAAGACTGCCACAAAAAATCATACACGGTGTTATCTCTCATCAGTTGTTAGTGAAATGAAATCCAAACAATATATTTGATTTTTGTTTTTTTGACATTCACAGAATTCAACCCCTCTCACCATCTTTAATGCTGTAGATAACCGTAGTCTTCTGTTTGATGAAGATGTCATGATAATGCAGCAACATCCACGTGAAGTTCATCAACACTTTGTAGCCACTTCTCTTCATTTCTTTATTATTGACAAAAGAGTTCCGTCAGTACCAGTGAGTGTCACTTTAGTTTTATTAACTATTATACAGGATACTCCAGACAAAAGGTCTTTAAACTATATTAAAGTTATCATTTTGTACTAATCTTCTATTCTTTTTATATAAAGCTTTTTTTCTTGTTGGTACTTCATTACATGGTTTGTTTTTAGCTATAGTGAATATTTTTTACTCCTGGAAAAATAGAAGCATTGTGAATGCTTGCTGTTTTACCTGAAAATAATCAAATTGACCTTTATAGTTTTAATATTATAACTTCTAATATGTGCTGTGTATCTTTGGCAAAATTTTGTTGCTTTCATAGACAAAAATCAGAACTTTTAATAAAGTATTTTCACTAAAGATTTTTCTGTGAACATATGGAGTCAAAGTGTTGACTATTTCGAGTGCAAAGTGATTTTCATGTTACGATTAAAAATACTTTTCTTCATCTGAAAATTGTCAAATTTCATTTGTCTTAACCTTATCAAGACGGGTAGGGGTCAGAGGGCATGTCATCACATTTGTAGATTTACGTTCAACATTTTATTTATAAACTTATGAAATAAGTTTGGTATCAACTTGTGGATTATAATTCAAATTTCTATATAATACATTAGTTAGTTTCTTAATTTGAAACTAAATATTGATTTTTGTGTGTCACGTGGTTCGAGGCTTTTTGGGTTTGGTCAGAATACATTTTACGATGCCCACAATACAACATCTATAGTTTCATACGAATTAGAAACTCAAATATTCAATATTAACAAGCTAGAATATAAAATAAGAACCTCTTACCTTTTCTATTTGCTGATATATTATGATATTTAGCGAACCCACCATATTGGCTCTGCCCACCACTTCATCATTTGAAAAGACTTATTTATCCAAGCCTACTTTTATATACCTATAACTTTATAATCAATCAAAAGCTATAAATTTATTCTACATAATTCTGTCAGTCTTAATAAGTTATTTACGAGAGAAATGCTCTTATATCATTGGAATGTTTGAAGTATTGCTATCTAGGCTACTGTGTGAATTGAAATTATATTTATTTAGACCCAAATACAATTTAATTAGCAAGCCTGATAAATTACAGTGGATTTTTGGGGTATTGGTACAGTAATTTATAATTTTTTTGGTATTCCAAAATACTTTTATAAAGTCTACAAAAATTATTATATTTCCATCTCCACATGTGAATTTGGACGAGGCTTAGCAAGTATGGCTCACAAGTGCAAATACGGACTTTGTAGCATCGTAAGTAGTAGAGATCATTGTTTTCCACCTAATTTTTATTTATTGTTTTATGTTTGAAGAAAAATAACTGACATTTAAGTATTTATTTGAAAACATTAATTATATATGTGTATATACATATGTAATGTATGGTAACCAATATGTTACTGTATTTTACAAAATAAGAACTTGTGTTATTTTTCTACTCGTTTACATTGAGGTAGAATAAAAACAAATTATACAAAACTAAAGACTTGGCAATTCAGGAAAGTTTATTTATGTAATTTGTGAAAGTCTAAGAAGTAAATTTATCACTGATCATCTGATCGTAACACATGAAAAGTAACAACTTTACATAAACACTTGGTTGAACTTGCAATTTGCTGGTGAATAATTTGTTTCTCAAGTTACAGTCAAGAAGGCTAAGCCTAACCAAAATGACGCATATTTATATTACTGGAAACTACACATTTATTGGTTACTGATGGTTAACGGGATGTCTGTAAGCATTTACACCTATACCAACACTAAATCCTGGCCACCAAGTAAGATAACTAGCAAATTTATTGGGTAGGATACAAATTTATACTTTGTACAGAGCCATATCATAAATATTTTCTGTCACGTTTATATAGTACTTGAGACAATTCTTGTTGCAGCCATTGTATTGTAAAGAAGCTGGTAAATTCTATCCCACTGTGTTCTCAACACAGTGATCCGAATAGTTTCTGTAGGATACTTCCACTTTTTGACTTATTGGATCAGCTGAGACTTTCTACAAAGTCTTAAACATTTTATAATACTTTAGACAACTATCGTTGTAACCATTATACTGTCAACAAGTTGATATATCCTATCCCACTGTGTTCTCAGAGCAGTGATCCGAATAGTTTCTGTAGGATACTTCCACTTTTTGACTTATTGGATCAGCTGAGACTTTCTACAAAGTCTTAAGTATTTTATAATACTTTAGACAACTGTCGTTGTAACCATTATACTGTCAACAAGTTGATATATCCTATCCCACTGTGTTCTCAGAGCAGTGATCCGAATAGTTTCTGTAGGATACTTCCACTTTTTGACTTATTAGATCGGCTGAGACTTTCTACAAAGTCTTAAACATTTTATAATACTTTAGACAACTGTCGTTGTAACCATTATACTGTCAACAAGTTGATATATCCCATCCCACTGTGTTCTCAGAGCAGTGATCCAAATAGTTTCTGATTTACAGGAGATTTACTTGGAACTTTACTGTCCGTACTGAAAAAAACAGAATACT